AATGTGTTTAAGCCATATGGCAAGATAGTCGCAGCTCGCTACACCTCACCGCCCTTTCAAAGGTTTTTGTAGGGCTACAAAAAGCTTTAAAATTTTACATAGATAAAAGTGTACAATTGGTTTACATAAATTACATAGTTCATGAGTTTACAGATACAATATATAAATAATTAATCATTGTCTTATTATGACAATTTACATGATAAATTGTAGTACATTTTTTTTTTTTTTTAGATTACTCGTCTAGAGTATTACAATTGATTAAATTAATACAATAATATTTTTGTTAGTTATTTCACATATAATATTATATATATAAAATTTAAATACAATAAAAATATTTATTAGTCATTTGATTAAGTTAATTTATTAAAATACAATAGTTTTCAATACAATATTTTATATAATAATTAATTTATGTTAGTTTATATATATATATATATATTCATTGATTACAATAAAATGATGGTTAATAGTAATATTTGATTAATAACAATTATAATAATACTTAATATTTAATATCTCCAATGGTTTATTGACCAGTATATATTTTATTTTGTTTATATTATTTAATTACATTCTTACTCAAATATTATCCTCAAGTAGGATTTTCGTGATACTTTTTTACTTCATTATTGCGATTAAAATTATTATTGTTTCGAGGCTGATATTGATTATTGTTGAAATTGTTCCTATTACCTCGATCTATATCAGGTCTATTAAAATTCGGATTTCGATTATACTGTGGTCTAATATAATTCGAATTTGTATTAAAATTCCCTCTAGGATTGTAATTTTGTCTCGGTGAATTTCCATTGCTATTATTCGGTCTATTATTACTCGGTGCATTATTATTATTACGATTATTATTATTAAAATTATTATTTCGCCTATTAGAATTGCTGGTATCCCCGTTAGAGTTGTTTACTTGTCTACCTGAACTATTGCCTCCATAATATTGGTATGCATCCGACTCAGACTTAATTTCAGTCTCCTCGTCCTTGGCAACCTGGATAGCTAATTCTAAAGTGGGTGGTTTTTGAGATTTCACGATGGTCTTTAAGCTAGGTATTAACCCTTTAATAAAAACTACCAATGTATTTTCCTTTAACTGATCGCGGATTGTATTTGCCTGTTCTGTACTTTTACTTTTTGTGCTTGCTACACATAGATTGAAGTATAACTGTTCTACACGTCTTGCATATGCACCTACATCTTCGTTACCTCGCATACGTACAGAATTTAATGCTACCTGCAATGCCGAAGTGGATTGTTGAGGTTTTAAAGCGTCTAATAAAATTAATTTTATACCTTCCCAATCGCTAGTGTCCCTATATCGATACACATTTAAAGCTTGGTCGAACAACTTGGTATTAATAAATTTCGTGAGTATGGGTAGGTCTCCTTTCTCTACTGCTGAACATGCTAAATCGCAAGCTTTTATGAATTGGTGAACGTCCCGTTCGCCGGTACATGTGGGAATCATGAGGGTGGCTTTATCTAATGGAATTTTTCCTGGCATTTTGGTTTTTTTATTTCACTTAACGGGTTCTAACTGCGTATGTACTATCCCTTTCTGCGTACGAGTTCGCGTACGATATAACACGGAAGGACTTACAACACGGCCTATATAAATTCAATAACTCGACTTCAGCTGTCGTAATAATTCACAAAAACTTAAGGACTTACTGCACGGCCTATAAAATCAACATAGACATCAACGGCAACGTCTTAAATAAATTCAACAAATACAAGGACTTACTTCTCGGCCTTTTAAATAAATTTCCCC